TGTTCTTTTTAAAATACTTGGATTTGCATGTTCTTTTATTTCTTCCTTACTTCTACCCATTCTGTCCTAGTTAATCTGAATTTTCACAGTCATTTCTCTCCTCTCATCCTTGTAACATGTTTCAACTAGCAGTGAGTCCCACACTGTTACAAGTTTATTCCCAACTCTTTGTCCTAAATTTTGTCTATTCTTATTTTCCTTCATTTATTTCCATAACTTATTTTCAAATGCTTCCTTTGCATTGAGCTTTGTAATGCCTTTATTTTAGATCACTGAACCTTTGGGAGGGAGGAAGGAACGTTTCGTTTACTGCCACCTCTTCTGCCCTAATCTGATCTCAGCAGAGCCCAAAACAGCGACTGTGGGGCAAATCCTTGTCTCCAGCAAGGGGCATGTCCAAGAGGCACATTTTTAAAGGAATGAGAACCTTGCTCTTGAATTCTACTGGTTGGATGTAACTTGATCCTTTTTTTTTTTTAATTAATCAGAGGCTTACAATTTATTTATATGTGGGTATCCCACGTGCCTTTCTCTCTGTCTTGTCTGTTTGGCAGAACCGTTATATTTGTGATGTAGTGTGTGCTTTCCGATGCGGTAACAGCTGAAAGCATAGTGAACGTTTGTTCAAATGTGGAGTTCCTGTTGCAAGCCAGGAGGATATGCAGAGAATGCATTCCTTTGATGACGTGCATTTGTTTTTTAATCACTTTTATTAACGCTATTTTTCAAAGAAATGATTGCCCCATTTAAGGCCTTTTTAGGCTAGAAGGTCTGTAATTCAGTGAAAAGTCAGTGTCTGTTCACTGTACTTCAGTGAAAAGTCGTTGCCTGTTAATACTGCTACATGAAAAAGAAAAATGCATGCTTTATGGAGCCAAAGGCACAGATATGTTTCAAGCATTTATGGAGACCCCATTTGCATTTTCCTTTTCCATTTGAACAAATAAATATAGAAAGAAGTTGTTAATGTATGGGAAATACTGTGAAACTGTGAGCCATGGCTTTTTCAGGCAGTTACAACTGTAGTTCATAAATCTAGGTTTAGGACTCAGGCATGTGTATCTGTTCTTGTGTTGTACTTTAATTTATTGAGAAAGGAAAAGATGATGTAGAGGTGAGTTCTGATCTGTAACTATTGTTAAAGGAAATGGTTCTTGCAGCTGGCACAGTCACCGTATAAATAAAGGCATTGCTATAGTGATACTTTCACAAATGCCGTGCTAGTCTTTTGATCTTATTCAACTTATTTGTTCTATTTAGTGCATGAATGATCCCACTTATTTTTCATAGCCATGCAAGCAATTTGATCAGGCAAAAATACTTCATTACACGGTATCTGTCAGCCCCGGCTTATTTTCAGGAAACTGTGTGTTCATTAAACAGTAAATTTTTATGTTTAGTCTATTAACATACTGCAGTAGAATAATAAGCCTTGTACTTTTACTCACCAACAGCAATGAGGTGATGCTGCCATTAATGATAAAAACATATTTGTTAATATTAAAAGAAACAGAATTGATGCAGGGTTAGAGGATCTTTAAATGCTGGTGCTGGAAAATAAATGAATGTAGTCTCTTCACTAATACCTAAGTGTATATGAAATACTAAGTTGTCTCCACTAGGTGGCACTGCAAAACAGGGAATGACATAGAAGCATGCAACATTCAATGCGCCAACTTAGTATGTTGAGAGAATTATTTTACATATTTCCTGGCACTCTAAAGTTGATTTGGCGTATTCAGTAAAACGTGTACAAATGTGTGTGGTTTTTTTTTTTTCGAGCGGGGCGGGGAGAGTGGTTCTCACCTTTTTTTTCCCAACTTTTTACTTTTTTTTTTCCCTCTCATTCTACTTTATAGTGTCTGATGGCAGATGTAAGACTTCACTATTCATTTAAAGTATAAGTCCCTTGATAGCGTTCTTTATTCAGATGAGATTTTTTTCAGCAGTGCAGAGTAGTAATTATAAGTTCCAGTTAGGTTAGGGACATCTTACTTCCGTTGATTTTTAAGGGTTGCTTTGTATTTAGTGCTTTTGCTTTTAAGTAAAGGTGGTGTGAGTGCAAATTTTTTCATAATTATCTTTGAAATATTTTGAGACAAATTTCTGCTTTTAAGCATGGAGCTGTAGATAAGTAAAATTTGAGAAAAGTGGCATAATTTTCTTCGTATTAGTCTGAAATACCACACCCTAACTAGGGTTGTTGGGTAATAATACTGAAAGCTGAGATTTTATTTATACATTCTGTATAATTGCACTCTTTTCTGGTGTGACAGAGTATGAATCAATGTTCCTGGGTATTAGTAGTGCAGATTTATTTGTCAGAAACTTTTGAAGGAGACCATGTATCGTTCTGTTGAATAGCTGTCGTTAACTGATGCTTGTTAATTGAACCCAAAAAGTTGAAGCTAGAGAATTAGTCTGACTCTTGAAAAAAACCCAAGCAAACAAACCCACCCCTCTGCCAAACTAAACATCCCCTGACCACAAACCCAACAACAAAAAATCAGCAAAAATCCTGACCAAACAACCAAACAAAAACCCCACAGAACTATGTAACTTTGTGACTGAATAAGGTGATGATCTTATTAAAGTATTTCTTCTTTTTCCTTTATATAAACTTCTCTTTTTTCTAAATTTACTGTATTAAAAGTTTTAATTATTTGCTCTTTTGTCCCTCATTTTTTTTACATTCAAGTCTGTTGGTTTTCTCATTTTACCAAGGACCATCAAGAAAACTTGAACGTGGAAATCTCTAGAAAGGAAGGAATGATTTTCATCTTAGGGTAAAATCTCTTACAAACTCTGAGCACATGGTATGTGTTAGCAGATGGCATTTGTGCACAGATTTCACTTGATCACAGAATGGGTTTCAGTTAATCGAGGGCGGAATAGTTTCTCTAATTATTACTTCTTGGCAGAGAGCTAGATATACAGGATACATTCTGCCAGCAGTTAATAGCCTTATTTGAAGTGTTTCATGACAGTACAGTATACATCTGTTTGATTTCCTGGTTTTAAATCGCCTACAAATTGTATAGTTTCAGTTTTCTTTATGATGAATTAATTACATATTGCAATTACGCAAAGGCATTTGGACCTGCTATTCCTGACCTGTTATTATTCAGGACTTGTCAGGCCTACAGGCCCAAAAACTCAAGGACAGAGAGTTTATTCATCTTCTTCCAGCCTTTATAAAGCTTATCAGCTTACAGTCAGCTAATCAATAGCATATTGTTCCAAGAATTTTCTTGAAAGCTTATACACTTGCTTTAGGAAGTTTGGAGTAGTTTCACTATTAGTATATGTCTTAGAATTCTGACAGTAGCAACATGTCTAGCAGGCAGGGAGAGAGAAGTGGAGAAAGGAAGCTTTACAAAATAAGACAAATTTGGGTTTTGTGTGCTGAAAAAGCTTTACATGCTTCTGCATGTGTATTCTAATTTCAGAAGATCAGTTAATGTAGCTATATAGGGAGTAGATGACATGTACTTGATTTTACTGAAAATAATTATCCTAGATTAGATATGGTTTTGTCTTTAATTGTTTACACAGTATTCACATCATCTCTTGTCGTGTTGGGAAAAATGTCTCTGTGATAAAGCTTGATTGTACAAACAGCTTTACAACGCATTTTGACAACACATCCTTCTAATTTCTTTTACAGTGTAATTTACTGTAAAATATTCTAATTAGTTAAAGTAGAAATTGAAATGGGTAACAGTCTTTCCCATTATTACATGCATTTTCTTTTCACTCCTTTGTTGATATTCTAGATTTTTTTTTTTTTAAGGGCCTTGGCTTGAGGAACAGTAATTTATTAATAGCAGAGGTACGGAAATCCCTCCTGTGTGGTGAATATGAATAATGATTTGAGCAGAGTAGAATTAATGCTGTTGGTTTGCAGAAATCAACAGTGATTAGGAGACTTAATTGCTAATTATACTGTCATTTTACAAGCATTTTGTATTGCATGACTGGATTTTTGTATTAATCAGACAGTATAATTTTGCATAGTTTCCTATAGCCACTTTTATGTTAATAGCCAGTCTTTCTAATGGGGTCAGTTCTGAGCCATCTAGTGACTTATTGATGGTATTGCGATAGCCGTGCAGTGACAACGATTGCACTGCCGAATGACATTGCTTGTGGTAATTGCTGTTCTGACAGTAGAATGAACTACTACTTCTTCAGTAGGTTGTAAGTAGATGCTAAAGAAGAGTGTAAGAAATGTAAGATGAGGATTGCTGGACAGAGTTGTGAATGGTCCCTATTATGGGCGTGGATGGAAGTGAAATCTGGAAATAGTTTTACTGGAAAGGAGGAACTAAAATAGCTTGTGATGAGAAGAATTAGCCTTGAGGTGTTTTCCCCATACTCTAGGTTTGAAGGCATGTCATCATGGAGCAACAGTTTACTTAAAACTTGAAAGGATTTTGCTTGTTGTGTGAAGTTTGAGATAAACTTCCTTCAGGGAAGTTAAGGATCCTGAGATAACCGTACGGGAGAGCCAGCTGGAGTTCCAGTCTGCCTGAGACTATTTGCAGAAGGATGGAGTCTCTGCTAATGTCTTTGCTCGAACTTGAGGATTTTCTGTATTTTGAGATGTTGGGAGTACAGCTGCTCGATCTCTGTCTAGATAGGGAATAGCAAGAAAGAGCTGCAGCTAGTTTAAATAAAAACTTAATTGACAGATTGACAAGTGGGATCTCAACATGTGTTGGGAAGAGACAGCATACGCCACTATAAGTGGTGATAGTTACTACGTGATCACAGTGAATGACTGTAGTGGCCTTCAGTGTGGATGACCTGCTTTCCAAACTTAGGGGGAAATCTTAAATTATGCATAAATAATGTATTTTCCTTCAAATAAACCACACCTGTGGATGAAGGATGGAAGAATTGTTTTTAAATTAATAGTCATAATTATTAATTTGAAGTTCAAACTAGCTAAATGTATGTTAAAATAGTGTGGTTTTTTTTTTCTTTCTCCAGCTGTAGCAGAAGTGAAACTTCGTGATGATCAATATACCCTTGACCACATGCGTGCTTTTGGCATGTATAATTATCTTCACCTTGATTCCTGGTACCAGGATAATGTCTACTATGTTGATCAGCTTGGAAGGGTTATGAATCTGTCAGTGACTCTGGTAAGAATAAACGTTTTTTTAAAATTACAGAATTTGAAAAGGTTGGGGATACATAAGGTAGAAAATTTGGCATGGAGGATTCGAATGCAGAAACTAGGAGAAGCTATTGCCAAGAAAATAGGTAGATAAACAAAAATGCAGTTCAACAGGAAGGATGAAAGGATTTTAAGTGATTCTGACATCTTTTCGTTAATAGTATTGCATTAGTATTGAAATAGTATTGCATCTGCTTCCATTCTAGGTAAGATAGGCACATGGTGACAAACTGAACTGAAGAGTAGACACTGCTTTGCTAGTTGCTGGCTGTTTCTCCCCTGTGTTGCTTGATGTTTGTCGGTTTGCTAAATTGAAAATCCGGTCACTGTAGATAGGAGAGAAAGACTGTGCACACATTAGAATTATAAATTAAAGCCTTTACATACTAAGAGGTTAATCTGGGCATCACTCACTGGAGGCAAAAGGGTGCTGGTGGTCCTGGCCAAACATGTAATAGAGTACAAGAGAGCAAGACCAAGTCTGAAAAACGTGACAATTCTCTGCTTTTGTACTGATGTTCTTAAATAGTAAAACTTTCTATTTCTTTTGAGCCATTTTTCTGCATGGATAGACTAGTTTCCATTACAGAGTCATTCATCATTCTGGAGGGGACAGGATGTGGCTCTATGGACGTGCAGTTGTAGTGCGTGATCATTAAGGAATAAAGACTGTTATTGGCAGGGATTTTACAGCTATCACAGTGTCATCTTAGCTTTCAGTAGGTAATTTGGAGTAAGTTTATATCTCTGACAATTTTGACTTGTATCCCTTTGAGCAATAAATATATACTTACAGTGTTTTACCACAAAGTAGGATTTGTTCTTTTCATGACTTTGATTAACTCAATCCTTTTGATTTATCAAGTACAGCTTCTTAAATGTTCATCTGTGCAGAAGGAAAAAAAGGTCTGTAATTATATTAAGTTGTTAGCTAATTTAAATAGCAACGCTTCATTCATAGCCAGTTATTTGGTTAACATTTTATGTTGAGAAAGGTAATAGAATCACTGAATGGTTTGGGTTGGAAGGGACCTTAAAGATCATCTAGTTCCAACCCTCCTGCCATGGGCAGGGACACCTTGCACTAGACCAGGTTGTTCAAAGCCTCATCCAGCCTGGCCTTGAACACTTCCAGGGGTGGGGCATCCACAACTTCTCTGGGCAACCTCTTCCAGTGCCTCACCACCCTCTCCAGGAAGAACTTCATCCTAATATCCAGTTTAAACCTCCCTATTTTCAATTTAAACCCATTCCCCCTTGTCCTGTCACTACAGGCACTTGTAAAAAGTCCCCTCCCAGCTTCCTTGTAGCCCCTTCAGGTACTGGAAGGCTGCAATAAGGTCTCCCCGGATCCTTCTCTTCTCCAGGCTGAACAAGCCCAACTCTCTCAGCCTGTCCCCATAGCAGAGGTGCTCCAGCCCTCTGAGCATCTTCGTGGCCTCCTCTGGACTTGCTCCAACCGCTCTGTATCCTTCTGATGTTGAGGGCTGCACAGCGGGACACAGTGCTTCAGGTGGGGTCTCATGAGAGCAGAGTAGAGGGGGAGAATCACCTCCCTAATAACATGTAGATACTCCATTCTTATAATAAGATATGCTCTGGCAGTAAATGATTGAGGGCTGCTGTTTGATTTTTACATAAACCAATGTTAGTTTCATATAACAAGTCAGTTGAATTCTGCTATGAGGTTAATATAATTCTCAAAAATATACAATGCATCTTATATTAATCTTCCTTTCTATAACTGTTCCTGTTTTATTAATGTATTGTGGTGTGGCAGCTTCTTCCAGTTCCTGCAATCTGACTTTTGGAGTGATGGTGGTTGATGTAGGATTAATTAGACTGTGCATATGTTAAACAGAAGGGATCTTTAAATGAGTTGGGTGGAGGATTAACCTTTTGTTAATCAAATGATTCACAGTGATTGTTCAGTGCTGAGGGGTATAAAGTTTATGGAGTCCCTTCATACTGTTCTCTCTAGACTCCACAGAACATTTAGATCTGCAGTCCACAGGGTACTGGCCTAAACTTATTTCATAGCTGTAATTGACTACATGTGATTTTCAGAGTTGGAAAGGAAAATATCCATTGTCGTGCTACCGAGGAATTTTGACTTATAACCCTGTGGGACAAAAGATGACACATGGCAATCTGTGATTTTTGAGAGTGTGGTTGTTCTGTGCAAGGTTCTAAGAGTGGAAATTTCTGGGCCAGGGCTAAGGTGAGAGAAATGGTAACTCTGGATTTTACAGAGGGTGGTAGGCTGAGAACTGGAGCTGCGTAGTAGTACTTTTACTTTTCATAGAACATGTAGGCAGTTGGAGCCTTTGGCAGACTCTTGCTGAGAGAGAACAGTCTTTCGGGACTTCTTCCAAATATTTTGAGATCATCTGGATTCCCAGCAGGAACATCTAAAAGAAGTAAGCATGTTAAGGAAAGCCTTCTGTGAACAGTGGCTTGTGAGAATCTAATCTTTTGTGGTTTGTTTTCCTTGTGGTTGGTTAACCTTGGCTGGCTGCCAGGCACCCACCCAGATGCTCTGTCACTCCCCCTCCTCAAGAGAGAAAATAAGAGAAAAGCTCGTGGGTTGAGATAAAAATGGGAAGGTCACTTACAACTTACTGTCAGAGGCAATACAGACTTGACTTGACTGGCAACTTCTATTCTAGTATGGTGGGATTCTAGTATTCTTCCAAGAGTTAGTTATCCCTAAATCACAAATTATCCCTGCAACTTAGATGTTTAAAAAGATGTCACCTGTGAAGGCAAGAAGTGTAGATTAGACCTTACCACTTGCTCAGAATCAAAGTTGCAAAAGAAGAGTGGTCAACATGAGCAGTTTTTTTAAGTTGATGGATGGATGTTCAGGTGTGTTTTTTTATACCAGGTTGAGAAAGTTGTTGCCCAAACTTGGCTGGAAATACTGTATAAAAGCTTTAACATTCTCTATTGCAGCTATTGGACTTGTTCTGCTCAATAAACCAGCATGGATACTTTGTTTTAAAGATGCAATGTGTAGTGTAGTGGCAAGGTTACTGAGTTGTATTTCTTGGGGATGTGGGTTTTTTTTGATCTGACTTCACTTTTTTAATTGCTTGATGTTTGTAATAGTGGAATATAGCTGGAAAGTAATTTCAAGTTTTCTTCTTCACCAGTTAAATACTTGCACTTGATTTCTCATCCTTCAACTTTCCTTGCAAAGATTTCTTTTTTTTTGTATTCAAAAGATGGAATTGAGAAATTGTGCAACTGTAACTCTTCTCACACTTAATTAATATCCTTAATTGTATCTATTACTTTCATCTTCCTGAGTTCCAGTAAGAATTAGCTGTGGAATGCTGGTTCCGTAACTTTCAGTTAACTTAAATTCAGAACAGCTGTTAGTGGCACCAGAAAGAACATGAGAATTCTGTTTGAAACAAGGCAGAATAAATAAGCAGATGAAGTGAGAAACAACAAAAACTTTTAGACTTCTGTATCAGGGTTTTAAATACTGGCTTCGTCTTTATTCAGAATGCTGGATGTGGACATTTTTGCTCAGTTAGAGAGATGTGTCCAGTGCCTAGATATTTTGATTTTTCCTAAAAACAAAGTTTTGTAATTGTTATGGCTACTTTGTGGAAATTGTTATATATCTTGTATTTTTTTCCTTTCTCTTTTGGTATGTTTTTTCTCATTCCCTGTCTTTCCCTTGGTAAGTTCATTCCTATTTTAAATCTCTTGGGGCATTTCACTTGTTTATACAGTATGACAAAGTGTATGTGACGTTGCATAACTTCATAATACAGCTTAAAAAATTAAATTCTTACAGGCATGTGTCATGGTTTAGTCCCCAGCCAGGAACAAAAGACCACACGGCCACTCACTCTTTCTTCCCTGCAGTGGAATGGGGAGGACAAAATACAAGGAAAGGTTTGTGGCCTGAGGCAAGGACAGGAAGGGATCAGTCACCCATTATGGTCACAGGCAAAGCAGACTTGAGTTGGAGAAGAAAAATCCATTCAATTAATTACCAGTCAGATCAGAGGAAGACTATGAAAGGCAAACCCCTTTCTTAACTGAAAAGGTTGTCAGGTGTTGGAACAGGCTGCCCAGGCAGGTGGTTGTGTCACCATCCCTGGGGGTATTTAAGAGACCTGGACAAGGAATTTACGGGCATGGTTTAGTGGTGGTATTAGCAGTGTTAGATTAATGGTTGGACTAGGTGATCTTAAACGTCTTTTCCAACCTAAGAGATTCTATGAAAACAAAACAGTTCTTAAAAACAGACCTTAACTGTGTAAGCTAAGACACACTTAACTTAAATGGAGCCTGACACAGGGGAGTCAGGAGCAGAGGGAATTTTTAAGCTTGTATTTTACATTTTACCTCCTGTACCTGCACACTGGCCTCTTATCCTGAGCAATTACATTATACCCTGTCTCAGTCTGCCTGACTTTGCCTGTGAAGAAACTGTTTGCTCAGAATTTCTATATAAATTTGAAACCTGGACTGCTTAAAAAGGCTTAAGGGTTAGTCTCATAGGCAGGTGAGGCAAACGAGCTGGTGAAAGGAAAGGGGTTGTTGTAATGGTGCAGGTTCCCAGATAAAATCTGGGATAGACAAACAGAATTCAGAACCCTAAAGGAAGCAGGCTACCCTGTCAGGATGTATAAAAGTGGGCAGAGCTAGAATTAAAGGCCTGTGGAAGAGATGAGAGAGACTTGGGAGTGAAAAATAGTTAAACAAGAAAGAATCTTTGTAGAGAAGTGAAGGGAGGTAGACAACTGGGTCTGACAATAAGCTACATCTAGTTTTTTCTTAAGAAAATGTGTTGCTGTTATTTAAACCTAATTACAGTGAGTAAATATGACTTCTGTTAAAATGACTATAATTGTTTTAGCCAGTTCTTACAACTATAAAACATGACTATAGTATCTCAGCATCCCCTCATACTTCTGAAGTAGGGAGTTAACTATTAACCCCTGTTAACCAGCTGGTGAAGAGAGAAACAGTAAGTAAAAAACACATCTTATACAGCAGAGTTTTGAGGGCAATATTTTCTTTGAATTCAAGTCCGTCCATCCTTTTCATTGTCGGACTGAGATTAGAGACTGTTCGAGTAAATGTCTGAAGTTAAGTTAATGAACAGAAGGGTTGTGAATAAGAGCATTTCCTTATGGCCTGTTGAGAGGGAGGCTTTGTAATGTGTAATGAACATGACTCTTCACTTTATTTTTCAGGAAATGTATTGAATACTGATGTTCTTGGTGCTGATAAATCTGGTGTGAGCTTTAGAAGATTAAATGGTTAATAGTTAATACTTCATTTTTTTTTTTTAATTCCATCCAAAAGCGTTTGAAACTTACTGTTAAGATTCACTTGAAGGATGACAAAAGTGTGGTCTTCTGTAACGTTACATAGTAAGGTCCTGTAAATCACTGTTAACAGGGCTGATGATGTTTCTTCTTTCCATGATAAGATGCATGGGAGTTAGATTATTTTTTTCCCCTCTCTAGGCACAGTAGTCATGCAACTTGCTAGTTACAGTGGAATACTATTATTGTAGAAAATACAGTGAAAACCTAAAATTAAGTAAAAGATGAGGAAGGCAAAATTCTTTGTATCTAGCGTTTGTGGGACTTTTGCTTTGCTAGTGTTTTGGGTTTTTTTTTTTTTATTCCTTCATTCTTCACTCCTGAATGCATTATAAATTTGTGGTATGTTCAAGGGGTATAGTGATGCAGCTGAATCTAAAAAGTGACGCTGAATGCTTCCAATAATTAAATATCAAATTTGCATCATTTCCATTGCAGGTTTCATAATAACCCTTGTGCCTTTTTGCCGTACGGAGTAATCTCAATTATGAATTCAAGTAGGCTCAAAAGACAAGCAGGCTATCTGTTTGTCATCTGGGCTTTTTTGCTGTGGCTTATTAAAATGGCACTTACCCAAATCCAATTTATCTTGCTTACCTTCGAACATGTTTTAAATGCACATTTGATTTTAATAACATCTGGAAAATAAGAAGGATTTGAAAAACCCTCAAATACAGGAGCCTCAACAAAGGACACCAGAGCATGCTTTGGATGCTCAGACGTGCTTTTTCTGTATTGCCTATACATGCACGAGTGCAAAGAACTCATTGAAAAAGATGGTCCTTTGTATGTATAGTTTTGACTGCCTTATTTCATAGATCAGAATGAGTGAGTTTCTTTTACTAGAAGTAGATATTTATATAGATGATTTCCCTCCCAAGCTATCCATTTGCTTGACTAAAGGTAGAGGGCCAGGAGATGCTTAAAAAATATAATAATAATCTGTGGCTGAAATTCCAGGGCTTGTTATATGACACTGTTTTAGTCTGGTACTTTTTCATTGCTATCTTTTAGGCTCATTTTCCCCCTTAGGGAGAAAGTGGATTTTGTGTGGTACACAACAGATAAATACTTGTGTGTCACATCACCCCCACCCCCCAGTTTTGAATACAAAAACATGCTTCTGTTTGTGCTTCCTTTTACATACTTGTAAATATCTTCAATACTGTTCCTATAATGTTTTTCTTTCAAATTCTGTTTTTCTATTTTTAAAAATTAATTTCTACCTGAGTATTTTTTCATTTTAGTGACACTAATGATGATTTTTAGTAACAAGGGTAGAATTTCCTTACAGTTAAGCAGAGTCTTCTAAGTTGTGGAGCTTCTCAAATACTTGTAGATCAGCTGAAATGAGCCTAGTAAACTAAAACTGAAAATAGTTTAATTTGCTCCACGACTATTAGTACGTTCTCAACACAGTCTATTTGTTTTTGGACTAAGAAGATAGATTGGGTTTAAAAAGGGAAATGTTGATCTGTAAAGGTAAGTCAGGCACCATTTTTCCAGAGATGATTGTTTATTTGTTCAAATATATGTAGATACACTAGCCTGCAAATGTCTATGTTGTATTTAATTTTATTTTAATTATGATATGTATAAAACTGCCTGAGAGATGAGGGGAAAGGACCATAACTTAATGGGAAAAATTTCTTTAAGATACAGAACAGAGACAACAGGAATTGGTTTTGTTTGTTATAACTGGAAGACTATTCTGGAAACCTCACATCAGATCCTGAAGCCTATGAATCGGTATAAGGTGCAAGGTGGTGAATACTTTTAAAATTACATGGTTAGTGTCCACCGTTTGTTTTAGAATCGTAGAACAGCCCAAGTTGGAGTGGGACCTCAGAGGATAATGGTCCAACCTTCCATGGGAAAAGGACCTTAGATGTGAGTTCTTAATACCCTGTCCATTTGCATGTTGAAAACTTGCAGTGATGGGAACTCTGCCGTGGGGAGGTTGTTCCAGTCATTGATCTCACTGTAAAAAATTATTTTATGTTGAGGTTGAAACCTCTCCTGGTGCAACTTTTACCTGTTGCCCATTGTCTTCTCTTATGTGACTTCGTGTCCAGTGAGCGACTCTGTCCTCTTTGTAGCTGTCCTTTAAGTACTGGTATACTGTGATTACGTCCTCCCCGAATCTTCTGTAGGGAGACAATACGTCACTCCTTCAGCCTTTCCCCATAGGGCAGGTTCTCGAGCCCTTTTGGTCGTCTTCATGGCCTTCCTTTGGACCCTCTCCAGTCTGAACACGCCTTCTTTTGGTTGCGAGGACCAGACTTGGATGCAGCACTCCAGGAGCGGCTTGACAAGGGATGAGTAGAGTGGGAAGATCACATCTCTCTCTCTGCTGGTAATGCTCCTGCAGATGCAGCCCAGGATCCAATTTGCCTTTTTTGCTGCAGCAGCATGCTGCTGACTTAGGTTCAGCTTGTCCACTAGGACCCCAAGGTCCCTCAATGAACGCTGCTCCCCAGGTTCTGGCTGGTACTGGGCTCTTTGGTTATTCCTTCCCAGGTGCAGGACCTTGCACTTGTCTTGGTTTAACTTCACAATGTTCTTGCTAGCCCACTCCTCCAGGCTATCTGGGTCTCTGTACAAGATGGCTCTCCTTGCAGCACGTCTACCTCATCACCTAGTTTAGTGTCATCAGCAAATGTGGTGAGGGTGTGTTCAATCCCATTGTCCAGGTAATTTATGAAGATGGTGAACAGCGTGGGGCCTGATACCAATCCCTGGGGGACCCCACCTGTGACAGACTGCCAGCCCCTTTTATTTAACAACTACTTAGTTGGAAAACCTCAAGGAATTAAGTTCCATTTCAGTTATTTGGAAGATTATAGAGACGTGACCATGATGTTGCTGTATCTCTAGTCTGCATCTTGTTTTTCTGTAAGAATATTTTGTTTGTACTCCTAGTGTGCAGCCTGATCTGCTTAGTAAATACCTGATAAAGCATGTCCTGACTGATTTTTTTAAACTGTGACTCAGGTTCTTTTCAAATCATAAAGATTTGGTTAGTTTGTGGCTTTTTGTTTGTTTTTCCCCTAACAAACCTCTTGGATATTCAGAGATTACTTCAACTCACAAAAGGGAGGTAAATTGTAGTCCTAAGCAGGCAGTGGTGTTGCTGTCATTCTGTAGACCAAATGGTGAGCAGAGAGTTACAAAGCTTTCTTCAGCAAATAAAAGGCTGTATGTAAGAGTGAAGGCACAAGATAAAGAATAATCCCTACAAGATATTCTGGAAAACACTTCTTTGTACTTAATGAGAACGGTTGGAAATCCATTTACAGCAAGAAGGCAGTTTCATCTGTTAGAATTAGCAGGAAATAAAGAGGGCAACAGGAGTTCTGAGAACAGTTACTAAAATATAGGTTAAATTGGTAATGTAACATTCATTATGCGCTATTATTGAATACAGCTGATTTGCATGAAGTTTATACAGCAGAAAATACTGATTTTCTTTTTTGGTAAAATTCAGTGATTTTTTCAAATCCATATATCTTTATTGTTCACTGGAAAACTGTATTGTCTTCACTTTGTTCATTACAGCGTCTCTGTTTATTCATGCTCAAAAACTATGCTTGTGGTTTGGCTTGAAAACAAAAGATAAGACTGTAGTGTGCCACTCATGCAGTATGCTACATAATTTTATCCTGATTTGTAGTATAATCATGATGTGATGGAAGAGTTATTTGCAAATACAATGTGAATTAGTACGGCTTTTCTTCACTAGCAAATCACAACTTCTCTGAGTTACTGAGTAAAATAACCACTCTAGAAAAGCTCAGAAATGATACATCAGCTTGAAAATTCCAGTTGTGTAAGAGAATAGGCTAAAATTATTTTTAATTTAAAGTGAGCTTTTATGAACTAGTTTGAGTACAATTCTGTGGCTTTCATTTCTTTTAAAGTCTTTACATTTCCACTGTGACTAGAATTATTTGAGGTAAGTGATTAGTTACATGGGAATGCTAAGGGAAAAGAAGTGAAAAGCCTTTTTTAATGCAAAATATAATTAGTGCTGTAAAATGGAAGATAAAAACAGAGTGCTGAAATACCTGTTATAGAAAACTCATGTTTTCATGTTTTCAGTAAATAGTAACCAACTCTGATGAAATTCCACCACTTTTCCACATAGGTGGGAATGATGCTTGCTACCCACTTTTTTCCAAATATTCTCAACGGCAGAAAGAAACTGGTGAATTGCTACTCAGATTTGTTATTAATTTTTTTAAATATTTACTGAGATTGATAAATAATTCAGGAAGTTTTTGTGTGTGACTTTATTTATAGGACACGGCTCTACAAAAACCAAGAGAAGTCTTCAGGTTACCAACAGACTTGACAGCTTATGATAATCGCCTTTGTGCCTCAGTACACTTCTCATCTTCCACATGGGTTACCCTTTCTGATGGTACAGGACGACTGTATTTAATTAAGTCAGGCAAGCGTGGAGACAACGCATCTGAAAAGTGGGAGGTTGGTCTTGCAATGTCATTTAAGAATTGTATGTCTACCAAATAATTCTTATTTTTGCATTTCTTATGTGCAATTCTCATATGTAATGTTGTGAAGAATTAGGCTTTAAATCATAACTGTATCACTGAAACAGGATTATGTTCAAGTATAATTGATTTTTATATTAATGACTAAATGATTTCTGTATGCACAATATATTCCAAATTCAAGTGTTTGAAAGGGAGCAGCCTTTTTGACTGAAGAAGAATCTGAGTAGAAGTGTTTCTGAATAGGTGATTAAGTGCTTGTCTAGCTCAGTGTGCTGGGTTCAGCCAGGAACGAGTTAACTCTCTTTACCGTGGCTGCTAGGAAGCTGTTCCTGGATGCAGAGAGCGCCCTGCTAAGTTCTTAGCTGGCGCTGGGCAATGCCTGCACCAGTTTCAAGGTCTTTCTCCACTTCTGATCCTGCAGCTGCGTTCCCAGCTCTCGCGGTCTTGCTACAGGCAGTGCAGGGGACACACAGTTCAGGCCCCTGACCCAAACTTACCAAGGGAGTGTTTCATTCCATAGTACGTCATGCTCAGGGCAGAGGCGAGGAGGGGGCTTGGTGGCCATAACTCCTTTGCTAACTCTTTTAACTCCAACATACTGGATGGACTTTTCTAAACTGTAGACATGGAAGTTAAAAATTTGTGACCCTAGCCCCTCTGAAATGTGAATATTGTAATCCTTCATTTATAAGTTTTTGTTTCTCACTCCCCTTCATAAAACTTTCTAGAGAATGAAAATTGAATCTCTGCAAATATATTAGCCAGATAAGGAGAACTCCTCTCCCCTCAGTACTGGTTGGTGATTAAACACTGGCAGTGATGCACTGGACCTATTTATCTTCTTGTTTGCATGTGTCAAAGTACAAAAGTTTTCAGGGTTTTGGGGTGTCTAGAGAAGTAGCGAGGGCCTTGGAGAAATGCCTAAGTTATCATCTGGAGTGAGAGACTCTCTTCCCCCGAACAATATGCTGTGTTTATGGAGGCTGTTCTCTTCATCAGTTGTTGTGCCTCTATTTACTGTGGTAGTAAACAGCCGTAATGCAGACCGTTTTGTGGATTTTTGTGCTTTGTTTAATGGGCCCTTATAACGATTTTGTAATATAAACAATAACAATTGAAAGCATTTCAGAACACTGGCTTGATAGCCAAGGAAGGAGGAACCAGAAATGTATGACATTCACGGATTCATCTTGGCAGAGAGATTTGTGGGAAGCAAACTTTGATTTGACATTCACTGAAGCCTTTCACTGCTTTCTGAGAAAGAGCAGGAATTCCAGTTTTAACTGACTGACTTTTTACCACAATTTTGTCTTCTAGATTGTGTTTAATGAAGAACTTGGAAGTCCATTTATTATAACACACAGTGTTTCATTTGTAAAATCTGATGTGCATTCTGTAGCTGTGCTGCTGCTTAGGGTAGAAAAAGATGAACTGGACACAAAAGGCAGTGGATTTCATATTACCTTGGAGTGGGTTACAATTGGAGCAATAAGCAAAGAGGGTAAGTGTTTTACATTTATATTGCTGGTGAGTAATGTGATTTTAAAAAAAAAATCATGCTTTTATTCTTTGTCTTAGAAGTTGATTGTTCCTTAGGTTTTGAAGTTTCTTTTTCCCAGAAATTCAGCTTGTATTTTATGTAGGTAATTTTTTCTTACATTTTGAGATTAAGTTATGAGTTGCAGACCCAAATCCTGACGAACATTTGGAAGAGAAGAAGTAGTAAAGTTTTATACATGTGTGCTTAAGGTAATTAGAAAACAAGATGGAACTTTACTTTGCCATTATGAAATGCAATTACTGTCTAGCTTGACCTTGTAAAATTAAGGTTATACAGAACCATTTCTAATTAATGTGTGCTGTACTTTTTTGCAGATGGGTTTTTGTTTGGTTATGTTTTGGGTTTTTTTTTGGTTTTTTTTAGCCTTCAATTAACAGTTTTATGGGATTTGAATTAGTATAAGAACTGGAGCATAAAAAGGAAATACTGCGTATTCTAGGTTTTCCTACAGTAGAAGATTATGAAGCTTGTTCATTTTAGACCAACACATTAAAAATGTATTAGTGTATTAATTACTAATAAATGTGTTATCCTAATAAAGTTTGGCAGAGAGTAATTTATCAGTTCAATATGACCATATATACTTTGGTTAAATATCCTGATTTCCATAAAGGATACAAGGCCCCATGCTTCCGCATCTGATTTAAAGATATGTGGATAGAATTAGCTTACGTTTTTGGGAAGACTGTGATACGGCCTTATTCATCTTCTTCCAAAAACTACAATTTGGTACAAACAGAAACAAGATTTTTAACTACTTAAACTAAAGCAGTTGCTTGCATACTGCAGTGTTGCTATCCATATGTCCCTCAGTCTCCTATATATATCGTATGGATAGGGTAGGATAGAATGGAAGAGAACAGAATAGACTCGACTATTTCAGTTGGACGGGACCTACAATGATTGTGTAGTCCAACTGCCTGACCAATTCAAGGCTGAATAAAAGTTAAAGCATGTTGTTAAGGGCATTGTACAAATGCCTCTTAAGCACTGACAGGCTTGGGGCATTGACCACCTCTCTGGGAAGCCTATTCCGGTGTTTGACCATCCTCTCGGTAAACAAAATGCTTCCTAGTGTATTTCTAAGCTAAGCTTTGAAACATTCTCACGTGTCTTGTCACTGGATACCAGGGAGAAGAAATCGGCACCTCCTTCTCTTCTTCCCCTTTTTGGGAAGCTGCAGAGAGCAATGAGGTTGCCCCTCAGCCTCCTTTTCTCCAAACCAGACAAACCTGAAGTCCTTAGCCGCTTCTCACAGGACATGTCTTCCAGCTTTGTCACCAGCTTTGCAGACCTGAGTGGCTTTATTCACGCTGTCTGCTGTTGAAACCTTGGTTGATGGAAATATTTCTGAGAGAGCTGAAAAGCCACCTGAGACTGGCTTATGCTTTTGTGGCCAGCTCAACAAGAGAAAGAAACATCTGAACATTACTGGTTGTATCTTGTACGAAAAATTAAATCAGTTATACTGCCAGTCTAGAACTTAAGACCATTGCTTAAAGGGAGAACTAACACAAATTTTTTATATTTTGTAACACTATGTATTCTCATAAAAAAATTCTTTTTTACAATGTGTTTTTTATAATTTAAGACATGTTCGTGGAATTAAACTTCTTCCATAAAAGTGGATTTAAAAATCTTTCAAAAAATTTTTCCCATTCTCCAGCATTTCCAAGGAATAGACAAAATTTTTGTCATTACAGTCAACAGAGATGTAAATAACAAGATTCAAAGCAAACTTTAATTATGAGAAGATAAATACATTTTCATTCCTTTTAAATAAATGCCTTGCAAATCAGAGTAGTGTATGAACCAGTCTTGAAGATAAAAGCCGTTTTGAGGCATTGCAGTGCTTCACATGCTCTTTCAGCAGTAGGCAATTGCAATGCTTAACTTATCTTGAAACTCTGTCTGTGGGTGCAGTTTTTCAAATCTCATTGTAGTAAAAATAGGTAGTAATCAGCAAGCCATTTTTCAGGTTACCAAAATCTATGCAAAATCAAAGCAAAGCCTTCAGACATAGTTATGCCTCTTGACACTGACTACTGTGAGAGTCCCTGCAATATGTGGTTGGCTAGACAAAGTGGTCACACAAGCATGGAAATAAATCTGAATGGAAGCAGTGATTAGGTGTGTTCACACCTTATTTGGTACTACAGAGGATTGTGACAGAAATAGACCTTTTCAAAGTGTGTTGTTTTCTTTAGTTAACTGATGTTTTAAGAATCCTCACTGTAAAAGCTTGACCTGAAGATTCACCATGCTGCTTTATTAGACTCAAAAATGTTACATGTTTAGCTTCTTCACAAGAGAAGTCATGTATAAAGTATAAACTTATCAAAAAAGTCATAGATATAAAAAAATATAGAAGTGTTGATGATTGAAAATACTCTACAAAAGGTTTGGTCACGCAATGACAAGTTGTGAGGCTGTAGAGCCTTTTAACAAGTGAGAAAATGCTGTAAGTGAGACATACAAATGAATTTTAGGTGTTTCAGTGCACAGTTAAATTCAGTCAGTTAAATAGCCACTCACTGGATGAGCTGTTAACTTCTCACTACAACGAAGACATTCTCTCCATGGTCGTGTATAGTAAGTTGAGGTAATTCGTTAATCTTGCCTGGCATCTTCTGATTGTATCGATCTCAACTCTAATTAGAAGTTGAATCTCTTCAATTAATACCCACTCAGCCCTGACTAAGATTTTTAGGAAAAAAGTGTGGGGAGTTTAATTGACACCAGTAAGTGTTTTTACTTAAGTGTTTTTTATAATTACATTATAGTCTGGTAATTACTCATCATTCCACTTTTTCCTTAGCAAACAAGATAACCCACTGAGAGGACCTATGTTATACCTGCCTTATCCATTATTATCTGTATTCTCCTGTAACTTCAATGTTTCTGTATGCTTAACATTAAGGTCAAACAGGTACACCTTTTGGACAATCTGTTACTATTCAGAAGTTGGTCAATTACGGAGGACTCTGTTGGCAGTGAGATTCTAATGAGAAATGTACAAACATTGTCCTAGAGCCTGTCACCTTACTTGTATTTTGAGTCACCAGTACACATGTGCTTGGGAGCACAGTAGGGATATGGGATGGTCCTTGACACCAATAGCTGATGTCTGGGACCTCCCTCATAAAGGGCAGTGTCCTGCAAAAGTTGAGGAAGGTGGGCATTTTCCATTATGAACAAAGTACTCCCACTGGCTATTTTGTTGCTGCTCACGTAGCTGAGAAAGTATTTGGAAAACTTGTTTGTACAGAGGATGTGAGTAGTTTTTTGACTTGCTGGGCTGGCTGTGATCAGCTAAGACATAGTAAGAAAAAAGGGCAATGTTACATTAATTTTAGGGTTTACATATTTAACAAACTCATTGGAAAACAGAAAAGACTTCTTTTCAAACTACGGTGCTGTGATTTAACTGTTAGGATTGCTTTGTATTTTTAAGTGTAATGAGATTCTCATATAATAGTCTTCTAGAAAAATATTACTGCTAAGATTTTATGTTTTTTATTTTGTAGGTGATCATAGATATGAAATATTTAAAAGGAGAGCTTTACAAGGAAAATCAGTCCCCCATTATGCAGCAATAGAGCCCAGTGGGGATGGCTTAACGATTGTTTCCTACAAACCATTCAGGTTTATGCGAGATGAAGATGACAAATTAGAAGAAAATGATGATGCAAAAGCAACAAATGAAAAGAAAGGTAAGACTTATCTGGCTGACTGTGACAGGCTGCTTTCTCTTTTGGCTTAGAAATCAGCTTGTCACTTTAACATCTGTTTGGAAACTCTAGCAGTAAATGTTAGTTTTAATATGTCTTCCAAATTACTACTTTTTTGCTTGTTTGTTTTAAGGACAGATTCACTTTTTTGTTTGGCTTCGTGCCAGGAAGTTGTATTGCCCATAAACCTACGTAAGAAGTCTTTTAGGATAGGAGACACCCAAAGAATTCTGTTGTCCTAAGGAAAAGGATGTATTTGCAAACAGAACTAGCCTAAGTATTTGACAGCAGTTGCATTGCTGAAGTAGCACCTGAATGTAGGCATCTGGCTGAAGTACTCCAGTTAAGAAGCCAGTCTTCCTAGGTGAGAGAGGGCAGTGTAGCATCCATTGATGCTGCCAAATAGTTGTTCTTTGGAAAGTTCTGTGATACATAATTTACTCCTGCCTTTAGAAATAAAGATAAAAGTAATAATAAAAATAACCCTTTTTTCTCTTAAAGAATGAGAATCCTGTAAAACATTATCTTTTCTCCAGTGGGAAAGCAGTTCAGAAAAAATAATAAACTTCAGTAAAAGGCATCCATACTTTTTTTTTTTCCTTGAGATTAAAATTAAGTATGGAAAAAAACCTATTAATAAAGTTTTTATCATGCATATTACAGAGCTCAGTGATATTTATGTTTATGTAGCTATATTGTACTATTTCAGGATTGATTTTTGCTTCTGAATACAAGACTGGTTAGTGAACCAATCCAAACTGAATTATACTAGCATACTCTCTGTCAGTGGTGTAAAAATCTGTTTGGGAACGAGTATGAAAAAAATCAATTTTCTGGAGTATATTAATGTTAACACACTGTAACTTTTAACATTCTACATACCATTGTATTAAGAACAGTCTTCATGTATAAATCCTGAAGCAAAGCAGTTCTGCAGTGCACTGAGCACCATAATGTGATGTGTATTGCTAGTTCAGTGCTCTCAGGGTTTTAAGAGGTTCTTGAGTTGTATGCTGGGTGTGATTAAAGAAACAGTGACGAGCGCTATGTAGCTCATTTCATGCATGTGTGTGCACATGTGGGGTTGCCAAAGCCCAGAAATCTGTCATGTGTGGAGTGCTGTTTGCAGTAATACCTTTAGAAAACTTTTCATGGCAGAAATATCTAATGGTAGAGAAGGTACGGAAGCCTGAACTCCTAGTTTAGGGGGAAGTCCAGTGCTTTTTAAAGAGAGAATTTGTCTTTTGATATACCTAATGTAGGCTATAATTTCAGTTGCTTGGTTATGTAAAATTGCAGACATAATAGATATTAGATAATGAAACAAGATGTTCTTGCAATAAAACTGATTTTAGAGGAGCTTACAACTAGATAAAGAAATACTAGGGCAGCTATGTTGGACATTGGTATTTTTGGGTTTTAATTTGTTCTTTCATAGTCTCCTTTGCACATTTCTGACATGAAGATGGTGAAGAGGCGAAGTCTAAGCTACTTTCTTGGTTTCAGTTTTCTTACAAATTAAGACTTCTAGTATCAGGTACAATCTCTGTCAAAGTTTAGAATTTTGAAGGCTGTCATGTCTCAGATACTAATAGTTTCTGGAAAGTATATTTGTAGTACCTGTGACTGATCCATTGCAAACAGGAAACCTGTGGGCAACAGTCCTTCCAGAGTCACAGTTGCTGACATGAAGCTTAGATAAACAAGATTTTGTATTGTGTTGTGACAACTTGAGAGATTCCAAAGGGTCTATCAACACTTTGTCTCTAAATAGCAAGGTCAGCATGTACAAGATTGCTCTTTAGACAATGAATGCATCTGTGTTTCTGTGACCAGCTGTGTACCGCCCAGTCATGCTGTCATAGCCTTCCTTTTGGATGTACATTTCTCTTAAAAGACCACTTCTTGTAGGAGTTTAATAATCAAGATAGATATCAGGCACATTCTAGACCCAGGAGCAAAAGTCAGCCATTACCTCTGGGCAGGCAGTTTTATTACATCTCCATCAGCTGAGGCAGATGAAGACTACTTGGTCTTTGAAAATCATTTTTGTTGAACACTCAGCGTAGCTTCTGGCAAAATAGGTAAGAAAAAAACCCGTTCACATCTCTGAATGGCCTGTCCTTCTGAGCATGCAGTAGCTTGTCAGTACCACTGCACCTGATGTCTCTTCAACCAAATTTTTCACCGTTAATGTGTCAGCGTATTTAAGTACGTTTTGATTATGAATTTTGGAATACTACAATAAATTTAGTGTAATAGTTAATTCCCATTCTATAACTCTATCAGAATATTTAAGGATAGACATGAATATAAATTGGTCTCCAGACGAGGGACATAAATGAAATTGATTACTAAAAAAATGTTTCTCCGTTTTATAATCAGAATATATTTAATGTAAATTGTTCAGAGTAAAAGTTAATTTCCATTCCCCAGACTTCTGTTCCATATCTCCTTGCACTGCATGCTGCAGAATCCAGGACAACATTTTTTTATCTAGTTTGTATTTTTCTGCATGTTTCCAATTGTAGACCCTCTCTATTACTGGCAGCAGACTGAAGATGATTTGACAATAACAGTTCACATTCCTCAAGACACCAGTAAGGATGACATAAAAGTACACTTTTCCCTTGATAACATATGTGTTACGCTGAAAGACCAGCCTCCTTTGATGGAAGGAAAACTTTATTCATCTGTGGATCATGAAAGCTGCACATGGATAATTAGAGAGAACAAAAGGTGTTGTATATGGTTTTTAGTTTTTCTATTGGTAGAAATTGATTTAAAAGTGTATACAGTATCTCTGACTTCTGGTCCCTCTGGGAATGGTCTCATTTAATGCTACACCCTGCTTCCTTCCTTATGAGAATCTACCTTCTCTGAAAATAGTTTACTGGCCTTTGCAGTGCTGTCTCACAGTACTGTTTCTTTAGCTCATTGTGAAAGTAATAATGGTTACTTGCATGTAAGATACATGACCAGCTACTTCCTACAACAATGTCAAACAGTCTTTCAAAAATAATACCTTCTTTTATTTCAGAGAATAGGCATTATGTATAATTGTCTGTACTGACAGCTATATCCCTGTCAGACAAAGAAATAGTTTCTGCTACTGAGCTGTGAAGCAGAGTTCTTTGCAACATTAAGCATACACTGATGCTCATAATGCCACTATTTTTTGCAACAAGCAGGTTTGGTTTAATGGTTGTTTAAAGAGTAATTTCCATATATGGTGTCACAGCTATACCCCTATCAGACAAAGAAATCGAGAGTTTCTGCTACTGAGCTGTGAAGCAGAGTTCTTTGCAACATTAAGCATACACTGATGCTCATAATGCCACTATTTTTTGAAACAAGCAGGTTTGGTTTAATGGTTGTTTAAAGAGTAATTTCCATGTATGGTGTCATCATTTAAAAAAAAAGAAAGAGTTGTCTGTGGAAGTAGTTATTTCCTTTAAAGAAGATAAAAATGACTTTTTCTCTCTGGGAAAGTTTTGCACCTACTCTGTGATAAAGGACATAAATTTAGCAAAATATAAATTTGCCTATATCTTTTATTCAAAACAACACCAAATCCAAAACATAGCATCACACCAGCCACTGGGAAGAAAAGTAACTCTATCCAGCCAAAGCCAGTACATGAGTGCAACAAAAATGCTTAAATCTGTTTACTAGATTCAAGGACGAAGAATTCATTTGGTTAAGAAAAACTCCTTCTTAAAGTTCCTAATGTATTAATGGCAACAATATACCACCTGAGAACATGGGACAGGAGTGAGGGGAATGCGTTAGTTGTGTCCATGTTCAAGGCATTTTGAAATGTCTTCTGTTCCCTGCTTGGCCTCGTTTTCTAGTCATTAACATCCAATGTAGTTTTACTTTGAAGCACTGTGGGTTCTGAAAAACATAAATACCAGGTAACAGTTTTGCATTTGCATAAAATAAGCTTACATATGAAAAATCTTTGGGTTCTTAATTTGTGATTTTGCTGTAGTTGGTGAGTTTCTTCTGAAGCAAACTTATCCCTTTGACCATGTCTGTTTCTTGGAAATACTGTTTTTGACTCTAGCAATTCAAGGTTTAAATTTCAATGGTATAACTTTGTTACAATCTTTCAGTCTGTCTTACCTTTGGTTCATAATCAGTGCCTCTTTGGTTTGGTGGTGGTGGTGGGTTTTTTTTTTTTCCTTCTCCTTTTTTCTGTAAATTTATTGCTGGGTTTACGTTTTAGTTATTCTGACTGCAATATATTGTAATAAGGGTAATCATATAATAGGAAAATTGCACTTTACTTTTGAGCTTTAGAGCAGGGCATGTGGTTTTATTGATCCCCTTCACTTTTCAGTATCTAATACCTATTTTATGAGAATGTATGCACTTCAATTTTCTGTCTCAGAGACCCAGTTCAAAAATTTATTTTTGCATATATGAAGCTTACTGATAGGGAAAAAAAACCCTGTTAGTTTTTGTGTAGTTGGATCTGTTCTTGGACGTTCATTAGGCATTTTTGGTCCACAGAGTTTCCTGCAGTTTCTCCTGCAGAGTTTCCAATTTAGTTTGCTTTGAGAGGTTTTGAGATGCACAAACTTTAATCCCATAAATCTGAACCAGCATGCAGGAAGTGGGGGGAATACAGTTTTATTTAAATGTCACAGCAATGTTCCCAACCATAACGTTATGGAAAATACGGCCATCTAAAGAGGGATTTTGAGAAGACCCAGTGAAAACTAGACTTTATATTAACCGTATTTATATTAACCGTAGCTTTCTGACACCATGAAGTCTGAGTTTCAAGTAGACAAAACAAACAAAAAAACCACCCCTCATTACAGTTTCAAATTACAGTTTTTAATTACATATGTTTTCACTGTCATTCCCCAGGGTGTAGAAATTAGGGAGCAGAATGAGATATTTGATAGTTTTGCACATTGCTTTGTGTGGAATACATGCAGTGGTAGTTATTCTTGCCATCGTAATAGTTTAGAATACAAAGTGGAAAAAGATACAGTAGAAATAATATTGACTTCTGGGTGCTTGGACAAGCTTGATGTCAGTATTTTTCATTACTGCATTGTTTGAACTTCTTTGTGAAGTGTATGCCTTGTGAGAATTGATTCTGTAGGACATTTCCAGTTAAAATTTTCCCTTATCAAAAATCTTGGCTTTTTCACAAAAGGTTAGCTCAGAAAGTTTCTCCAAAAGAATTAAATAAAGGGACTAATATTTGCATGTAGATTATACTCTTAACTATGTACTAAAATATGACTTTTCAGTTGTTGATTATTAGATATCATAGTGAAAAATAACTCAGCTGAGTAACTCAATTTTTATTACTCAGTCAAGTGTGCAATATTGTGTAAATCTCAGGCTTCTATTTTAATGGGAAATACTAACGTAATAAGTTGTTCTCAGTTCTTAATGTTAGTAGTGCAATTCCTACTTTAAATTAGTTTATTAAAAGTCTAAAACTTGCTCCAAATACCATCTGTAAAAGTATGCCATTCCTAATACCAATGTAATTGCTCCAGAATCTGATTCAGAGTTCACCACGTAGTTATTGATATGGTGCAGAAGTTAGGAACGTAGGTTTTCCTCTTCTGTCGGGTAAAAGACTGTAATTGTAAATCCTCTAAGTATATCTGAAAATGAATATAATAAATTAACTTTCATTTTATCGTTATATCCATGAGTTGGTCTAACGCAGTAATTAAATGGAATTGCTGTGTTGGTGCATCAGGCTAACGCAGTAATTAAATGGAATTGCTGTGTTGGTGCATCAGGCTAAGTCCTTTGTTTTCTATTTATTTAGTCAGTTAATGGTAATACCTGGTTCTCTTATGGGACAATGGCTTTAAACTGAAAGCAAGTAGATTTAGATTGGATATCAGGATGAAAATGTTCACGGAGAGGGTGGTGAAGCACAGGAACAGGTTGCCCAGAGAAGCTGTGGATGCCCCATCCCTGGAAGTGTTCAAGGCCAGGCTGGGTGGGGCTTTGAGCAACCTGGTCTAGTGGAAGGTGTCCCTGCCCATGGCAGGGGGGTTGGCACTAGATGGTATTTAAGGGCCCTTCTAACCCAACCAGTCTATAAAACAAACATCTGTAGTAAAATTTTGTCACTCTTTGAATAGATTTCTTTACAAGTGATCTCCTACAGTATTTGAAATATTTTAATGACTGCTTCAGGGTAAACTGCATTAACATTGAAAACTCTGAGGACTCTTACATGAATACATTCTCTTTGTTCTTAGGCTTTTAGAAATCACATGTCCTTGGTCTGTTTTTCTTCAGAATATTTTCTGTTAGAGTAGTTTATTTTATAAATTGAGTGCTAATGGTTTCTGTTATATCATTTTCATTGTTCATTCAGTTTGGAGAGAACTGCTTAAATCCACAGTCAGAGCTTTTTAACTGATCTGAAAAAAGGATACAGTGTTCTCACGTTACTACTCTTTGTCTTCAATTCACATTTTAGTTTGGAAATTTCTCTAATTAAGAAAAATGAGGGACCCTGGTGGCCAGAGCTGCTAATTGGTGACACAAGAGGGGAATTCATTATGGACTCTTCCCAATGCTCTGAAATAACGGACAACCTGATGCATCTTACCTCTGAAGTAATGGTAAGGAGTTGAAAGTAAAAGATTTCAAATTCTGTTACGTTTGCATGTTGTCTGTTCTTTATGTCCTGATTTGCACATTTGAACAGTAATACCTTCTTCATGGGGGACTGAATTTATCTTCACGATAGCACCAAAACAGAAGTCTGATTTGACATCAGAAATAAATTTTGTTCCCACCTTTTACAATGTGGCAGTTGGTTTTAAAGCAGTTGATTCAAGTACTTTTGAAGGATGTCTGTTTGTTGCTTATCAGCAGTTTAGCAACGCTTTTATACTGTCCTCCTAGGAATACTGTACTTGGTTTATATTGACTGTGAGTGTAAATGACTTTTCTAAAAGGAAAATCTGCGAAAGCATAAGCGTGACTCATGAACTTTCTGGCATTATTCTTATGAAGGGAGTCTACTAAAAATAAAATGTAATTTTTAACTGCTGTTTGTTTGATATTCCCCTTTTGGTTTAATCAGAAAATTGCATCTCATCTAGAAGTTGTGAAGTGTGACTGCCTATGGGTCTTGATATATTAGTTTTGGAGTGTTACTTATTTTAATAAGGCTGAAAAATATTATTAAAATAAATTCTGTTTGGTGCTTCAATCGATTTTCCTCCTCTCTCCTCCACTGTGGGCAAGATATTGTAGTACATCTTTTGACCATAGACTTACTTGGAACTTCGTATTTCTTTTCTTTTGTAACTCATACTGACCTTAAGGGATTTCTGTTCTTTTTTTTTTTTTTTTTTTTACAGCTTGTGTGTAATAATGGTCATGTAAACAAAATATTAAATCTTTTCTTAGGTAACTGTTCATTTAAATATATATTAAGGTGGAGTTCTTTTTGTTGTTTTTGTTTTTAAATACTGCAGCTTTAGCTACATATGTATAGTAAAGGCATGGATTCTTCTTGGTTACCATAACTGCTTATGATAATGATGTTCACCTAGAAGGTTTTTTTAAAAGCTAGATAAACAGTAAACCAGAGGCCATCAAGAATGCTTGTTAGAGGAGAGGTGAACCCCAAAGTCTGCCTTCTAAAGAGACAGATACCCTGCCTTAAGTCTTGTGCATTGGCCTGCAGTTTATGACACTTAATCTTCCTGGTTTCTGTCATTTGAAGATGTTTCTTTGTTATCTCTTCATGTTTGTTGTCTTTGAACTTAAATTGTCGTAGAAATTAAGAAAAAAACCCCAACCCTGTGCTGATCTCCTTCACTTTGTGGACTGAACCAAAATAAATGTTCTTAACAATCAACTGAAATGGATGAAGAAATGAACACAGGAACTCAAGAACTCCTTGTGTCAGATGAATTTAGTCTTAGTGCCCTCTCTAATCTTTCCTTACACATTCTGTTTGGCCTAAGCTTTCCACTTATATTAGATGTCAAGATGGTATCTTTTTTTGTGCAAGAAGCGACATTAATTCATACTTAATGAGGAAGTGTATGTTTTTGCCTTCTGTTAAATAAAGGACTCTTTCTGTTATCATGAAGCTAGTTCTCTAAATATATCACAAAGGTAGTGTAGCTTGGCTGATTTGAAAATTGTCCAAGGAAGGTGTCATTAACAGAAGTCAGCGGTTTCTGTATGCAGTAGCGTTATATCTTGCTCTCGAATTACTAGTAGAAGTGACCTTTTTTCCTTTCTTGTGGGATGTCAAAAAATACGTGTGCTTTTTTCTTGTTTTGAGTGCATTGAAAAATTTGCATAACATTATTAATTTTAAATAATTATTAGCAAAGCTAAAAGAAGGCATATATTTAGAGCTACTTACAAGATGAATTAATCTATTTTTTTAATAGCATTTCCAGTGACAATCTGAAAGAAGCTTACACTGGTGTAAATGTACTAAACCTGCATAGGTTTTCAGGATTCTATATTTTTGGTGCTTACAGAAAAGAATTTATTGTCCGTGTTTTAGTGGCTATGTACCTTTCATTAAACTGAAATGGATTTTGTTGTACCTAACACTCATGCTATCCTCCCCACCCCCCCCTTACCAATTTTGAATAAGTACATGATAGCTTAATCTTTAAGTATATAAGAATATGCAAATGATTCTTCCTGTTCTGTTGAACTTTTTTGTTATGAAAAGGGATTTATATCTCTCTATATATTCAGGAGTTTGGATTTTCAGTGTAGTTCATTGGCTTTTTGTATTTCAGAATCCAAACCCTGAAAAGGAAAACCCACCCTGTAACGCTCAAGAATTAGAAGAATGTGATGCTTTTCTTGAAGATGGCACAAGCTTGTGCAGATTTGATGGTGATACCTTGAAAATCACTCATGTGGTAAGTGCTGCAAATTATTACAGAAATACTTGTAAATGTTTTTTGATATGCAAGTTGAATTCTATTATCAGAACAAAAATCTGTGCAAACTCTTGAAACCACATGAATTTCTTCGATAATGTAAAATCACAGTAGCAACAGAAATATCAACCAATGTCACTGTAAATATCTTATGTAAAAACATGGCTCCTTTTTATCGTGATGTAAAAAAAAGATATACTTTCACAAGTGAGCAATTTGAAAAAGCGAAGTTAAGATAAAAATGTTATTTTCCTTTAGCAGTAAAGATATATATATGTCTGTCAGTGTGTGTGTGTGTATGTATGTATATACATATATACATGCATCTGTGCTGCTAAAGAAGAAAACATTAATTTTAAAGGCTCTCATACTCCACCAAGAAAGTTGGCTGGTTTGTGGATACAGTGATAGGTAACAATTTTGACAGAAGTTAAATTTGTAATTGGTAGGAAGACATTTTATAGCAACTCTGTTCTTGTGGATTTTAGCTGTTAAGCATGGTCAGAAAACAAGAGACAGCAGACATAAGCAGAAACAACAGGTTCAAACTGGATGGAAGGAAAAACTTCTACACCATGATTGTAGCATGGATCAGATTGTCTTGTAAGGTTCTGCAGCCTCTGTCCTTGAGGCTTCCAAGACCAGACTGGCTCAAGTTCTGAATAATTTAGCCTAAACTACTGCTACTTGCCGCGAAGGATAAGAAGTTTGTTCTCCAGAGACATTTCACATACCAGGGCAGACATGATACCATGGAGTCAAGGAAGGCAGACCTGATGTACACTGCTTTCTAGCAGGCAGCAGGGCATTGTGGCGCAAGTTTGAACCCCAGGGTGTTTGTAAAGAGCTATTAAAACTGTGTGTGGCATGAAAGTAATCCAAAGGCTAATATGTTCAAAACATTGTGCTTAAAGGACAATTACTGTGTGTAGGAAATTTTCACACATGTATAACCTGCTCTAGCTGGCACTGCTTTGAGCGGAGAGAGTTGAACTAGAATATTCCCTGGAGTCCCCTCCAACCTCAGCTGTGGGATCTTGTGGTTTTGCGCCTTATTGGAGGACATAGGAACACGAGTATTTCAGTAGATTTTTCACCATACAGGAATGTATTTTCACTTTGATTTAGTAGTTCTTTCAAATTGTTTGGGGTTTTTTCTTAATTTTTTAGGGGCCTGTTACTTCTTAAGTGTGGTGTATACAGTTGTATATGACTCTTTGCTCTTAAGTGGGAGAGAACTTTGAAACATGCGTCCAGAATCTTAGAGAATTTTAAATGATTAAATACTTATATAGGAACATTTCCCACTTTGAGTTATAATTTAAGGATTTAAAACACTGATGTAATGATACCTGTTCTGTAGAGACACTTGATTCTACTTTTCTTGACATTTTCTAGTGCATTTCAATGGCAATGATCCAGCTGAAATAAATAGGTTTGACAATCTTTGTCAAATTTATTGCTATACTGGCCTATTCTTGTGTGGCAAAATTACATTTGCCTCCTCTAGCTCAGATGCAGTCACTGTTTCACCTAGTGAGAAACATTTGCTTTATTAATACCAGTTCTTTAAGATAGGTTAATGGTGGCCTAAACTCCGGTGTGTTGTCTTTCCAAGCCATCAGAAACTAAAGATGCATGATGGCCAACATTTTTTGCTGTGAAGGGGAGGAGCTTTGTCCAGTGAATCATGAGCTGCCTAAAAACACTACCTTGTTTTTGGAACCGTGTGCAGTAGCATTTACAACATAAAGTTTGCCTTCTGTGTTATGTAGATCAATATGTATAGTACCATATCCTTGAGTTCTGGATTATGCATCCTGTTAAAGCCAGTTGCAGGCTCACGTACGACAAAATGCGCAGGAATTAATTGTTGAAAGAATGCTGAAAGATGCCTGAAGTACAGAGCGGTGCTGTGTGTGTGCAGTAGGGGAACCCTGGCATCCCAGTGCCTAGCAAAACTGGGATGTCTTAAGGGAAGAGGCCTTGATTGTTGTGTTACAAAAGAAGAGAGTATTCCCAGTGAATTGTGGAGTAAGGAGAAAATAGGAATTTGACTCCGCAAACCTAGGTCTTTGAATAGCTAATTGCAGTAGGTAATTTCAGAGAGCATCTGATACAGGACTGTATCCCATGGGAGGGATCCCACACTGGAGCAGGTGAACAGTGTAAGGAGGAAGGAGCACCAGAGAAGAAGTGTTATGGACTGACACCAACCCCATCCCTACATCTCCCTACACCACTCTGGTAGTGGAGGAGGAGGAGGAATCAGGAATGAGGGAGTGAAATTGAGCCAGGGAAGGTTTTTTAAAAAATCTTTGTATTTGTTTCTCATCATCCTACTTTATGTTAATTTGTAATAAATTCAATTAATTTTCCCGAAGTAAAGTCTATTTTTCCCTTGATGGTAGAATTGAGTGATCTCCCTGTCTTTATCTTGACCCACGAGCCCCTTCATGTTATTCTCTTCCCCTGCCCTGTTGAGGAGGGGGAGAGTGAGAGAGCAGCTGGGTGGGTGTCTGGCAGCCACCCGAAGTCAGGCCCGCCACAGAAACTCTGTACACAGTTTTAAAGGCAATAGCTGTTTGGCCTGTAAGCACAGCTCAGGTTTAGTCACAGACTATGCACCTCATCCTCAATAAAACAGGTGGGGATTATGGGAGGAAAGAGCTTGAAAACGGGAAGAGGTGACATCTACAAGGAGTTCTGGGGAAGAGAAGCTTGGGGAAATGTAACTCCAGTCTGTAGAAAAGCAAACTTCATTTCCTTCTGGTGCTCCAGAATCAACTTTCTTTTCTTCTCTGGGAGATTCGGGAATGAAGTAGAAGGAGTAACCATGACTTTTGGGGAGGTTAGCTGTCCAGCACCAAAACAGGTCACATTGATGAAAAACATCTGAAGAGGCTGGACCTTCTAGCGCGTTCTTCTGGTGAAATCATACTGTAACTGCCTGTCCATGACCCTGTGGAGTGCCATCACAACCAGTGTGTCCCTGCACAATCCCCACTATTGACTTCTTCCCAGGAGTAAGAAGCAGGTGCCACTGCGAGCATGCCGTGGGGCGGATCTTGAGCTGAATGTATGAGAAGTCTCAACTTGTTCCCTTTCTCAAGCTCTTTCCCCTTCATTCTGCCTGTTTTTCCTGTGCTCTCTAGGGGTCTGTTCCACTCTGTCGGTGTCATCTGCCTGACCTCTGCTGGCCTCCTACCTTTCTCAGATGCTAAGAAGTTTGCGGGACTGGGACTTAATACCTCCTGTTTTGCTGAGCACATTGCACCAATGTAACACCTGCCTCCTGTTTTCTGCTTTGTTCTCCTTAAGGCACTTTATTAGTGGAGCTCTTGGCATTGTCTTTATTAGTGTTTCTTTGCCTCTTGGTTGCTTAGAAAATTAGTAACTCTCATTTCATGATTGCATCTGGCCCTAATGGAGACTGAGGATTATTTCACCTCTTTTGTACTTTTAACACGATGAAGAATTTGTACGCCTGTTGAATGGCAAAGTTATAGAGGGCTGTTTTGAAGTTAAGCCATTAGATTTGAACTTCATCAGCTGAAATAATTATATTAGTTCTACCATAGACTTCATTACTTCGAGTAAACAAATTACTGGGTGTTGATAGCTGTTGTTTCAGTCCACTGGTTCTTATGTTAAGATTAAATTAAGGTCTTCAAGATAAGAGACCCCATCCTGTGACATTTGTACAATGACAGCATAAAAGGCTTGCAGTTTGTAGTTATTGCCACAATACATGTAATAAAAAGTGCTGTGACAACTGCTTGAGAATGAATGATTAGTCAACAGATGTCAGCATCTGATGTCCTCATTGAAGAGTAATGTACTGTACCATGTATTAGGGTGTAATCCTGCATGTTACTGTTGCAGTCATAGCCTCTGGATGTGAAAAATGGTGCAAATGTATTTGTTCATCTGGTAACATGAACGGTGTAGATCAGCTCAGAGTACAGACAGGAATTCCTGAGTGTTCTTTCTTGATAGACCTCAAGGGAACAGATTGTTCTTTCCTCTTTGAGCATTTGCTAGTCGTAGTGCTACATTAAAAGTGTTGCTAGTAACTTCCTTTAAAAAGGCTCTATATAGAAAACTCAAAATATGTGTTGTTTTATTGTTTTTTCATACTATTGTTGATTCAGGTAGCTGGATGTGCCTGTCTTTCTTACGTAATTGCTCATTTCTGAAGAATAGAAGTGGTTATTGAATGCTTTTGGTGATCTAGAGATTTGATGAAGAATGTGCTAATTTGAAATTTAATAATTGTGTGATTGTGAGTGAATAAAAACTGTTCGCACTTCATAATTTTAGTATTCTAACGAATCCTTTTTCCAGTGCTTACCAACTTTTACTCCAGAGGGACCATATATCCTTCCCAGTTGGCACTGCAGCAAACCAGACGTGATTGATTACTTAGAGAGAATTGTTTCCTAACATCAGATCAATAGGTTAGGATCCTCTATCCTGGAAACTGTTTCTACACAAAACACATTTGCATTTGCTTGTGTAGTGGACATAATATTTCCCTGAATATTATCCCAAGAAACTTAATTACATCTGCTTCAAAGGTATTAGCTATCTGCAGTGTACTGACATGTTGATCAGTGGGATGCAGCATAATGTATTCAAATATTTTGTCAGCTAACAATCATGAAGCTGCTGATCATCTTAACTTTGGCAGTATGTGTGACAGAATCTGCTGTTCATGCTTTGGATCAATATTTTGTATTTCTTTTTTTTTGTTTTCAGATTAATCTTGGAAGCAACCAGTATCTCTTCTCAGTTGTTGTGGATCCCAAGGAAATGCCATGCTTCTGCCTGAGGCACGATGTTGATGCTCTTCTCTGGCAGCCCCGCTCTGACCAACCAGGGAACATGTGGGAACACATTGCAACTTTTAATGCTCTAGGTAGGAAGTTAATTTCCATGTCACATTCCTCTGTCTCAGACTTTTCTACCTGAATAATATGGCTTCTGTTGATATTTCACTTAATGAAATTTGAATTGAAAGGTTCTATAATTCTGTTGATAACAGCAGGGTAGCTTAATTTTAGAAGTATGTGAACGTAAGAAATAAAATGTTTATGCCTTGAGGAAAATAAGCCTTTTCAGACCATATGCAGGATGCAGGCACAGTAACTACTGAGTAAAAAAGAGAGTTCTTTGTGTAAGGGAACTTGAGTTAAAGACTTAAAAGCACAATCACCACCTGAACACTCACACAGAAATCACCACGGAAACAGCTGCAGTTCATTGGTGACATGTCTAGGTGTATATATATGTTTATGGTAGGATGTTTTAATAAGTGACCTTTAAATTTTTCCTATCTTCTTGTTCCAGGTGATAAATCTGAATAATTGCGCGTGATTGTTCACTGTTTCCTCTGTTGTAAGAGTTAGGAGCATCAAATGATGCTGATACATAATACATTTGAAGGAATCTAAAAGAAATACTTCACACATGCACTTAAGCTATGGAACCTTCTGCTGCAAAACTTTGTAGACATGCAAAGTTTTTATGAATTTGGGGGGGAAAAGAAGGAAAGTACTTGTGACAGGCAGTAATCAATCAAGAGTGTAACTGTGTCACCTCTGGCTCAAGAAACCCTTAACTCTTCTGAAATTACAGACTGCCAGAAAAGTAGAAAATGTGATTGTGAAGAATCATGAGTTATTGCAGTATTCTTGCAATCAGAACTTAGAATTGGTTTTTTTTGTTTTTTTTTTTTACTCACTGTTGGAAGCAGAAGCCTAAAGCTCAGAAACAGCAAGTACTTTGAAAAATATGGATGCAAGAGTAAGAATTGCCATGTCAGATCAAATAGGGTGGTCCACACAGCCCAGTATTGTACCTATCAAGTAAGAAACAAATAAATATGTTTTCATGAAAATTGATCTGAGCCAGAATTCACTTCTGCTATTACAACTATAGTCTTCATGTTCTCCAACTGTTCTCTAGAACCATTCCTTCAATAATGCCACGAGTGTGACGATTTATTCCCAAATAAACAATAAACAAATAACAAAAAATACATTTGTTTGCCCACACCACTCTCAGTCTGGGTCCAAAATGAAGGAGAAATTACCTGTTTTATAGAGCTCACATAGGTTGCCATAACACGTAATTGGGTTTGTTCTGAGTTTTTGCAATTTTTTTAGTTTTGTAATATGAATGATTTTGAATAGTCTCTTATTTTAACTTAAGATCAAATTAAGCTGTAAGCATCTTGACAAATCATCTAATAAGAGAGATTAATTTCACAGTTTGTTCTTTGTTTACTCATTTCAAATTTGATTATGCTTCGAAAAAAGTGGGTGGTAAAGATTAAGTTGATTTTTTCCAATTACTGTTAGTTTCAAGTTTCTGTGCTGACTTTGTAGTCCTGTCTTAAAAATGTGTTTCTACTGGTTTGGAAATAACAGCAAGGAAATGATGATATCTTTGAGCTCTTTGTACCTAATATGATAAAAGCCAACATTATTACTCTATTTCTTTCTGCTTATTATACTGTCATCTTATAGTATTATATTGAAGTTTACAGTTCTGTACTAAGCAAGTTCACCTTTTAAGTGCCAGGGGTGGTGTAAGTTATCAGCTTGTTTATCTACAACCAAATTAGAAGTATTTTGCAAGAGCTAGTAGTAAAAAGTAGTATTTGCTGATTAAAAGGACAGTTTTCTAAAACCTACAGTATTCATTGTATTGAATACAGCAGTGGTAGTAGCCTTATTTCCTTCTTCCTCTGCTTGAACTTTGGGGATTACTTTTTAAGAAGCTATACAAAGATGATGATGGAAAAATTAATCTTTTTCAGTTCAACTCTTTGACTGTAATATAAGGAAGGAACCAAAGGGAAATTGAAGAGACCAAGTTTTTGGTTCTATATATTTGTCCTACCAACTTTCTGTTGAAAAAAAGCAGTTGGTCTTGAATAGACCTTTGTCTGCCAATGTTTAATGGTGTGATCTTGCCCATTCAGTTTACTGAAGAAGCTGATATCTTTCATTAACTGCTCTTTAGTCTTGGTATATAAATCCCCTGCTCCGAACAGGGTTGTATCTATAAACTAAAAAAATAGAGAACAATGACTTCCTTTTAGATTAATTTGGAAAAAAAAAAAAGTCTATGATTTTATTTCTGAGAAATCCCATTTAAATACAAATCACCTGGCTCAAAAGCTGCTTTTACCTGCAAGCCTATACTTAAAAGCCTTACTGCTTTTATTGTTAGTGTCAGTGTTTAAATATATGGATTAAATTAATGAACTTGGACAAACTTGGAAAATGTTTTCTGGCTGTCCTAATATTTCTCAGTACTGCAGTCATATCAACTTGTAGTCTAGCTATATATTTACTAATTGTTTCGTGGTGAAAACTGTCATGCTGGATTTGAACAGAGATCATGTTTTGAGGATAGTAGCAAGCATTTGTAAATTTAGAAGTCTTAGAGTTATAATTTAAAAAACCCAGCACGTTATGATCTGCTGTGAAGAAAACTAACTCTATCTCAGCCAGCCCCAGTACAAGTACTGTGACCCTATGGTAATGAGGAAATAGGGACAGCCAAAACAGGTAAGTGCTAGCATGCATGCTGGTCTCAGAGGCACTTTCAGGGATAACCATTGCAGTGTTCAATGCAAGGGAAGCAAGTAACCTTCCAGAAAGACGGTAGATCGCTTTGCAAAGGTTGTGTCTCAAGTCTCTTTACAAAAGTGTGAAAGGAAATCAGTCTGAAATAAGTCCTGATAAGGTTTTGTAATGGGAGAGGAAAAGGAAGATTTTTCCTTCTCAGTGAATATTAGCAAAGATGACAGTGTGTTGGAAAGTAACTCACATTTTTTTCATTCAGTTTTAAATAGGAGGAAAGATTTAAGTGTCTGTTTGTGGTTAGGTAGGCTCAGAAATCTTAAATTGTAAATGTAATTACAAACAGGGAGATGAGGGAACAGAAGTGAGTTATTCTGCTTAGACTACAAATACTGGGCCAAGATTTGTATCCATGCCTTATGGTCCTGCTGAGAAAATGGAACACCTTGTGATGCGCAGAGGGGCTGGATGTAGGAATAGCTATACATACATATGCATCAAGAACACCAGTTAGGAAGATATACAGAGTTATTGTATATTGGTATTAAATTGGTTAATGCATACCTCCAAAACCTGCTGGTTTATTTAATAAAAATGTGTTTATGTTTCTGTGTTGATAATTGCATATTACTTTTTAAGCTAAGCTTGATGTTGTCTTAGCCAGTTAAAGTGCTATTAAAACCAATACATTACTTATCCCTTCTTTCTGGGCTGTGCAGGTTATGTCCAAGCATCAAAGCAAGACAGGAAGTTCATGGCTTGCGCTCCAGATTACTCCTACGCTGCGCTTTGTGAGTGCTTGCGACGAGTTTTCATCTACCGTCAGCCGACTCCTCTGTCCACGGTTCTCTACAACAGGAAGGAAGGAAGACAAGTAGGACAGGTTGCTAAGCAGCTAGTAGCAACCCTGGAAGCCAGTGATCCTATCTTAGGCTTTCAAGCGACGAGTGAGAGATTATTTGTTCTCACAACAAAAACCTTGTTTTTAATAAAGGTGAACCCTGGAAATTAATTATACAGTACAGTCTGCTGTAGTCCATGTTAACAATTTGTTGAAGAGCTGGGTGGGTAAATGGATTGAAGTTCAGTACAATATGCTGAGGTTCAAAAGGACATATTTTATAGCAGAATCAAAATTTTTCATTAGAATTTGTCTGTGAGATAGTGAGAAAGTTTTTCAACTTTGCTGTCACTGTAAGCTTTTTCAGAGCTATGGGAAAATATCTTCTGCACTAACAGCTTTCTCAAAGCATCTGTCAGAGGCTGCTGTTGCATGGGGGGATAGGTTTATGCATTGTTTTTTCCAAATGACTCTGTTTGCCATGCTCCCAGTTTTGTAAATTCACTTCTGGTTTTAAATGCCACTGTTCGCCTACGAAAGAAGTAGTCAGGTAAAGAAAATAAATCCTTGAGTTACCAGCATATGATGTGCAGAGTGAAGAAGTGTGTATCACGCACACACACACAAAAAACCCTACCAAAAAACCAGCAAAAAAAAAAAAATCTCACCAAAACAAATACTATTGACCAAAAAAAAATTAATATTTCAATATTCAGTAGTATTGAGTGAAAGGTGAATGGAATGAATGGAGTAATGCATTTCTTATAAAGGTAATTAATTCAAGTGGAATAATTTTGTTATAAGCAGATTTTAGATTATTGATTTGGGGCTTGTGCTTGCAGTGAAATCTGCTCTCCTTTTAAGAGACATTAGAATAGCTGTTGGTAGCTTTTCTCTGAAGCCAAGTAAGGGTCAATGTATAGCTGGTGATCACATAGTGAATGGTATTAGTTAGGGTCTGCTTATGCTGTCAGTTCATTTGACATTGTACTTCATCTCGAGTGACTAATTCACAGTTAGGAAATGGCTAACAGAAAAAGTACCTGTATTGTACCCTCAGGTAGGAAACTGGGAAGTCCTGCTCCTGCCTCAGCGCTGCGAGTGCCGCGTTACGAGTGCATCATCCTGTCTGCGATGCGCGAGTCCACGCGTGGTGCGTTTGCAGCGTGCGAGTGCGCAGGCTGTGAGGGTGCTTCAGTTTGACCAACTGGCACGTTAATTGTCCTGAATGGTTGTATCTGGAGATTTTTGTTTCTTATCTTAAACTGACATTGTCAAGACAGGTCCACCCTGGGTTGGGTTTTTTTCATAGCTTGCTTACAAAGGCATAGCAGAAAATGCTGAATATGTCATGTACTGGCCGGAAAGCTCCTGTGATCTGTGTACCAAAGTACTGAGATAGACACAAATTACTGGGACAGCACAAATACAAGTGGCCTAACAGTTTGCATTTCTTCAGTATTATTTCAGACCTGCATAAGAATCTATTGAGAGAACAGTAAGTTCCTTTTTTATGGACTGTTTCTTAGTTGTGATTGTTTTGACTCTCATGTAAATTTTCCAGGCTTGTGTTGGTGAAATGATTAAAAACAATACAGTGAGAATTTAAGAGGGAGAAAAGCAATTGTGGTTTGCGAAAACTCTCCAAATGCACGAGCTTTTCAAGGAACCTGATCTTCCTCCTCCTTATAGCGATGTCATATTGTATATCTGATGTTGAAAAGCTGTTCCTTCCTCTTACCTGGGTCGTGTAAAACAGACTCTATTTGTAAACCTTCCTTTCTCATTCTGTTTTTTCCGAACTCTCTTGAAAGTGCTTTTTAAAAAGGCTCAGTGAATGTATTGCTGTTTCATGACTGTTGCATCTAAGTTTTCAGTGCTGGGCAGTAATCAAACAAGGTGGTAGCATTCATGCAGGGGTCCTCTAGAAAAGAGGGTATATAGTTGATTACTTGGCAGCATAAGGTGCTTTGAGATTTATATGAATGTTACTTAGTAAGCTGAGATTTAATCGTTGGGAACACAGAATTGAGGACACATCGTGGTATTTGGGGAATGGAGTGAAGGATTCACAGGCTTTTGTCACCTCAGGTCTATTGCAGGGAGCTTCAGTAGAGGTGAGGATTTCAGCTGTTCTCTGTCAGGTTCTACTTGCTGTGGGTTAGATACCTGGAAGCTTCTCCTGTCCCCTGCAGCAGAGGAAACAAGTGAAATGGTTACCTCCTCAGAGGCTGCGTTACAGCATGGGATGACCAACACTCGCTGCCCAAATGTGTGTCTGTTTTAAGGAAGTTCATTTGCTCCGGGGAACAGCTGAACTTGGGAAGAGGCTCATCCCTTTTTCCATGTTACTCATCTATTTGCAGTCATGATGTTCTTAAAATGGATGTCAGTCTCTCTTTTACTTTGCTTTCTATGAGAGTTAAGAGCACTGTATTATTTAGAAGATGTGTTGCCTTGAGGAACCTTGCATGCTTGCACAGCAAGCTACTGTAATTAAGTGGCCGCGAGCCATGGAGAGACACTTTCTACCAGCATTTCCATTTTTGTCTTCACCTAATTTTCAGACTTAGTTGTTTAGCGTATCAGTGTAGACTTATACAAAGTATAGAATGTGGGTATTTCAAAGAGGTGTTTTTCTGATCACCATACTTGAATTTGTCTCGGATTTTATTTCTTGAAATCTTAGATTTTTAAGACAAAGTACATCCTGAGAGGTCCCAATCACAATCTGTTTAATTTCAGAGGAAATATTTGGCTATTGCAGACCTGCATTATTTATTTCTAATACTCCCTTTCAGTGTTTTCCTTGGCTGCGTATTTGGAATGGACCATGTAGTCTTTTACAAGTTTAAATAAATGGAAAAATTGATAAATTTATTAATAAAGGGTTTTTGAAATTATTTTAAAGCATTTATGTTAATTTCAAATGTGCATCCTTCCTATGCTACTGAAACAAATTAGCAAAATAGAAATAAGAATTGCTGTAAAATAAGAAATTCTGTAAAATAAGAAGCCTTCTCTTGGGGCAAAGTGCTGGTGGGTGACTGTGCTGCAAGCTCTCAGTGTTGCATTATACCCGAACGTAAGAGGCCAGGTATTGAGCAGATGCCTCAAATTGGAAGAAATGACTCAGGAGTAATCAGCATTTATTTTTATCAAAACAAGTGAGGTTTAGTGGGAAAAGAAATAAGATCCACTGAATACTAATTCAGTCACTTCATCACTGAAATTGCTGCTGATTGGCCTTTAATGATTTTTCTCTTTGAAGCTGTTCATTCTTCCTGTTCTGTGTGTCCCCTCTAATAAATATACAGCGCTTTATGGTAATTTAAGGTTGAACAATTTATTGGAATTTCCTGGATAACTGAATGAAACTTGCGCATGGGGTGTCTAAAATATGGGCAGGAGGTACAAGATGGATAAGTCTAGTTGTAAAGAGACCAGGAACACTGGCTCTAGATTTGATCAAGAGCTGATGACCATTTAAACAGGAATAAATGCTTATGCTGTGAAGACATTTTCGTGAGTTGCAATGTCATTCTAAAATGAGAAAACCATGGGAATCTGTACAGAATAAGCTTGCTTAGACACACAGGTTATCTTTTAAAATCTCCTAGAAATACATGTAGTACTCCATTCAAAGCAGTTGGATTGGTCAGAGGGAGAACATGCGCGTGATCAAGACTTCCTCGGTTCCCATTTTATATGGCTTTGGCAAGGGTAAGTCATCGGCAAAACTACCTGGATGCCAGTACGCTCAGTGTTACTCCTCTTGTGCTCTTTCTTGCCTGATGTAGCTCCAGGTGCTCGCCTCTGAAAAATTCCCAAGTATAGTAGATAAGAAGTTATTTAAATAAAAGAGTGTTGGCTGCTGTTAGCAGTACAGGTCTGAACCTCTCTGGATTCAATGCGGCATCTGATAAAATCATAGAATCACAGAAT